ACAGTTGACGTTTGCTTCAAGAAGCCTGAAACTTTAACCTGTGGAACTTTACTGAAGCCAAATGGAGTTCATGAGGTCGAATGGAAGGTTTATAATGCGGAAGAAAAGCAATGGAGTTGTTTCTCGTACTGTGGAAAACGGCAAGGGTGTTTGATCAAGGAAAAATTGTTGTCAAACGGCATCACTGTGGAGAACGTCTCAATGGTGGCAGTGACAGTGAAAGCTTCGGCAAAGGACAACACAAACAAACACAGCCGATTGCTGTGTGAAGTCCACTATAAAGATTTTGTGGCTTTTAAAGAAGTGAAGATCAACTTTATTGAGTGTAAGTTCAGCTTTACTGCTTCTCGCGAGAAAAGTTATATTGTATATTTTTTCAATGTTACAAATGACTTTCCTTGATGTTAATCATCGTATTCAAGGTCTACCTTGTTTACAAATAGATCTCATGTGGCTGTGCGTCTGTTCAGCATTATATGATGAGCTGAAAAACCCTTGACATTTTGAATGATTCTTACAACACTCGATTATTTAACCAAGATATTATACTCTTTTGATTTAACAGCCGTTTCACGGCCCAATACCTTATTGTCATTTTTCGGTTCATTGCTTCAAGCTGCTCATGAACGATTTCTATATATACATTTTGCTGACTTCTCGCTCACGCTTCTAATTTCGTTTCCGATTTGGAAACTCCAATGTTGATGTTTTTGTCTTCCTCTTTTGGAGGAAAGACGCATAGAACATGCTACCATTAACAATATTTTTGCTTTGTTATCATGTAAAGACTGTAACATAAATAGATTTTATGTTGCCAAGCGTTAGCTTAGTAACAGATTTCAGATGACGTCAAAATGAAGCAAAAACAAAAAAGTGGCACACGAGGTGCAGCCGAGTGTATCACTGATGTTTAAAAATAAATCACAGATGGCGTCGAAAGGTGATAAGACCAAAAAAGTCACTAATATTCTTGCTACATGTTAGCACGGAATCTCCGCTCTTTTATTCATTTAAAAAAGAGGCAAAATGCTGCCTCTCTGCTCCACTACATCTTCAATGAGAAGCCATCAAAATGTGCGAGGAGTCCAGCTTATCATAAACGCAAGTTTCGATTATTCCGCGACAATGTATATGTGATGACAACAAGTGGCTGTTGTACAACTGTTACCACAGCTGTCAATTAAGACCCTTATATTTTGATTCAAAAACAGCACAATCAATAAGCTTATGTAAGGAGAAAAAAAAGCATGCAAACCTGTAACTCCCAAGATCTGATCGTAAATTCTCCCTTCTAGCTGTCATACATTTCCTTGTCAATAAGTTAGGATAATTTTGTGTGCAATCAAAAGAAAAACTTGTACCTGATAAATTTGAGTATTCTTATTACCTGTTTTCTGAGTAATGTATGGATATTTTGGGGAGAAGTTGCGTGTAAATCTCTTCTGAGAGTTGAAGCCTTACGGTGACTGGACTTGTTTGACTTAAAAACTGAAGTAAATTGCGGCCAAAACCTTGGAATAATCACAAGCCTTCTGGCCAGACACCGATACACACATTGTCTTGCTCCCATTTAAAAGAAACATTTTCCTTTTCTTTTTAAGGTATCACGGCTGAGAAAGGGACAGATTTGAACCTTACGAAAGTGTTCCAAGATATGTTACCATGGGAAAATGTCAAAAGCATTTTCATTGAAAATTCTCACGGCAGCAAGCTTGCCTACTGTAACACTGGCGATTGCATTAAAGAGAATGGCGGCGATTTCTTGAACCGATTACAAGTAAAGCGAGGGGCGCTAATTCTCTCGGAAGTCATGGAGAGTGACGATGGATTAAAGTTTAATATCAAGGTTGACTTGAGAACTGGGAATGTCAGAAGAAGCATGGGAACGACACGAGTGTACTCCATTAAGATCTTTGTGTACAGTAAATCAGGTAATTGTTGTTCTAACTTTTGATTGATGGACAGTACCAATTAATCTTTAGCGCAGACTTCTTTCCTCTGGAATCCTTCGAATTTACCTTAGATTCCATCGTTGATGCCCTTATCGAGCAACTTTCGACTGAGTGTCGAAAATAAAACAACAATGGAGTTTATGTTTGCGGGCATCATGATATGTTTTGGGCCTGGGTCTGACTCAGAGCCATTTTCCGACTTGAGCCGCTTGGGGTGGCGGGGGAAAGGGGAGGGGACTAAAATGACCTCGTGAGGGGCCCAAAACATTTGAGGCCCAAGAACATAAATTATATTACTATTTTTATTACTTTTGAAGGCATTGAGATAATAAAACTGAAAGAATCGACAACGAAGCAGTACCAATAATTAAGCAAGCGTGCGAGCGGGCTTAAATACAACTTAGCCTGCCAAAATCTCTGTTTCAGCCAGCAAAATGCGCCAAATTACCCGACAAAGTGATGATAATTCGGGATTACAAGGAGTTGGCGCCGCTACGCTCTGTGATTGGTCAAGAGATCTTGTGCCACCTTTTCAACCAATTAGCTGCATACTGAAACCATCTGGTCACTTGCGTTTTCGCGCTCTGCAGGCAGTATATCCGTGTTTTCTATATCACTCAGACTACAACTTAGTTCGATCCATGCAAAAGTTTGTTATAGCAAGAATTTGAGCCAACTTCCATTCTAGCTCAAAACTCTGCTACTTGTCTAGCAGCCTGCTGGCACAAGGGTTCAGTTTCATCCTGGGAAATGCCTTGTCACATTAATAGTACGCGATTGGCGTATAGTCCTTTTAACGTGAACAACAAACTAGCTAACTCAGTTACACCGCACAAGGGAAAAATGTCTAACATCACATTTTATGATCGTTCACTGAGTTTACCTCATTATCTTACAATTTCAGGGTCTACAGGTGTACCGCCATCGACACTGCCCTCAACTACAGGATCAAACAGGACAAACCACTCCCCTGTTAAACACGTTGCGTCTCCAACAAGGAGCAGTGCCTCAACGACAGATGGAAATCTGTTGATAATGATCCTGATTCCTGCCTTTCTTGTTTTGATAGCGGTTATTTGTTTATTTGTTTATTTGGTTATTTGTCGAAAGAGGTCAACGGAAACAGCATCTGCGCAGGTTTAGCATGGTAGTGGCTATTTTGTGCTTCATGCGTCGAAGGAGACCAGCGGAAATAGCATCTGCGCATGTGTGCGAGCGTGGCCTAGTGGTTAGGGCGCTGCACTTGTAAGCCGGAGGTCCCGGGTTCAAGTCCTCCTCCTGCCACTGGACGGTTTGTCTTCGGTGGCCCTGAATTCAACTCCTGCACGCTTTGTAAATAGCCAACTGGTCTGCCTCCTACCAGTTGGGATTTTTAACGAGTTTCTGTTCATTTACGATATTTGTTTCCTTATTTACAGTGTCCCCAATTAGCACAGCAGTGCTAAAATACACTGACACTTAAATAAAGTTATTTATTTATTTATTTATTTTTTATGTTGAGCGTGGTAGTGGCTATTTTGTGCTTCATGCATCGAAGGAGATCAGCACGGTGAACATAACACCTTCCCAGCATAAATGTAATATCTGACTTTTAAGTGACATGGGAACGAATTAGTCAGAAATTAATATTCTAATGGCACGTCGAAGAGGTTCGCGTGGCATCATGGAAGTTTCGGATTATTTAAGCGTTTCGCGGGAATATTAAGTCATTCTAGGTCGGTCAGTCTTATGTTTGACCACTTTTATTGCTGTATTTGTTGAAATTTTGGTATTTAACTCCCTGTAAAATATCATTACGATCATTAATTTTTCTTTGTGAGTAGTAGTGCGGTCAGGTTAGTTTACCCTTTCCTCTGGGTATTGTGCTGTTACATTACTTGAGGAATACGCTTTCAGACAAAAAATTTTTAAGCAAATAATCGCAGGCTCAGCGGTATTTTAAAATTACTTATCTTGTGGAAGAGCACTCAATGTTATTATAGTGTTTAATATATAATCTATACGAAAAGCGAACGGTAATTGGATAGCAATGTGTAAGAGGGTGTAACTGTTGTAAACGATGTATACGCTTTGGTTCAGCCTTTTTACTTCCGCCAATTGTAATTGAAATAATGTATGGAAATTTAATATATTAAAGTTCACACGGCAACCATTTTCTCCATTTCTCCATTCCTTCACCAAACACTTGCAGACCATCTTGAAAACTATCGTAATATGAGTAAGTCGAAGAAATGTAACACGGCCACGAATAAAGCACCAAATATTAACGTTAGCAACATACCATGATTTTAAAATGTCAAGAAATTGGAATAAAATATTTATGCACCGAATTGCAGTGGTTTTTTTTCCGCCTTTGCAAGCAATTTTAAACGAGGCAGGGGGTGGCTAGTCTTCCATGTACGTGTATGCTGATGCTTGACGGCATAAATAAGACATACCGGTAAGTGAGTTGTTGTTCGTGTCTCTCCGGATTTAACAGTTTCTCCAAATTGTTACTGATATTTTCAGGTAAGTGGGAAAACTGATTTTGAAAATAAAAAAGAAGATTTTAAAAAATCCCTATAGCTGTAATTCGCTCTAAGATCTTATTCCTTAATAGAGTTAGTACCGTGAAAATCTGCTGTACAAAAGGATAGATGCGTTGTGTTGCTTAGCAACAAGGAATAGAGAGAACGGCAAAATGGCGAATGTCACGACACCCGGTGGCTTTTCGACTCCTTACAACACAGGTACCCAATTTTAGTTTAGTGATACGGTTTGTTTTAATGGTAGAAGTATTTTTGTATCTTTAAGCGTTAAAACATGCATTACCTGTGAGCTTTTGTGTATTACATGGAGTTCTATTTTGTTGTTCAAGGTTGTGGTTTACTATCTTAGAAATAATTTCGCCGCAATTGCAGATAATTACAGATAAATCTATCACATGCAGTGTTGACTGATTTTAGGGGATGAGAAATTCTTCACATTAATGCGAACTATAAGAATTTCACTAATTTCACTATCATTTCTGCCATTATGTAGGAGCTATTTCTTAGTTTTACAATTTTAAGCCTCCAAATGTTGTATGCTTTGTGACCCGAGTTAACGGATACGACATACGTGCTTCTGTTGCCTTAAGCTACTGTGCTAGACAGTTTTTAGAAGACGAAACCTCATTAAACGAAACTAAACTAACTGCAAAATACTCTAAACTCCGAAAAGATTAAATCTGAAACTACATGTACAAATACCACAAGATTGTTATACCTGGCGACTCTGTTTACATATTGTACGATTACAAATTAATAATTAGCAGCACATCCTTTATGCTCGTTCCACGTTCCGGTGTTTTGTGGTTACCGATAATTATTGTTAATAACTGTGGTTTCAGTTTTGTTGTTGGTTGATCTATCGATGTCAACTGGCTGACTGCTAAAGATCTCGTACCATAAGTGTAGCATAGCTATGCTACACTTATGAATCTGTGAGAGAAGTTAGTATTTGCGTGTAGTGCAGTATCGAGTCATATTTACAGTTTACCACACTGTGACAGAATACCAGTCTTCCTTCGTAATATTATTAATTGTTGTGTAGTTACTGTCAACAAAGTGCAACCTTGGTTTGGGGTAGAGGGGAGTCATTAAATAGCTGAATGAGAAATGAGATTAGTGTCTTGTTTAAGAAAGATATATGATAATAATCAAACCAGTAACAACATTTTTAGGCATAATTGACTAAAAGTAGCTCCAAAAGTAATGGTAACAGGACTGAATGGAGTCTAATTTGATCTGTACCTAATCATACAAGTGATTTTTTAATTACCGTTATGATTATAGACAGAAGGGAACAAAACAAAGTCCTGAAACCAATAGATCAAAACTATACAAAAAAAGTTGTGGAACAAACTAGCCATTTGTCATACTTTATTAAAAATACATTAGTTTCCTCAACAAAGAAAGTCACAACAGAGTGTGAAAATGATGCTTGTTGTTGACTTACACACATAAAGCAAACACTGTCCATGTAATTACAAGCTTCATAAGTACACTGTACACGGACACTGTCCTGTTAGGGCTCAAATCAGGCTGATGATAACCAATCATGTCTGAGAGTTTTGTTATAGTTTTGATTAATGATGATATTAGGATGAAGTGGAGTCCAATTCAGTCTGTACTCATATGAGTGATTAACAAAATTAGACTCACACTTTGCGGTCGTCCAATTTGTTAATCATGAGACAGTATGATTATATAGACAGAATTGGACAACACAAAGTCCTGTTACCAATTAATCAAAACTATGACAAAATTTGAGAAAGCAACTAGACATCGGTTATACATTTTCATTAAAAAAATTGTTAACTCTGCAAGATTTAAGACAACAGCATGTGCACATGGTGTGTTCTGTCCTCTTACCTAGGCATGAGGCATTAATTGTCCCTTTAACTGTCCTATTACACTATACAATTGCAAATTACACGTACACCATCTTATTAGTGCTCCAATTGGACAGGTGATAACCATTCATGTTTTAGGATTTTGTTATAGTTTTGATTAGTATGTGTATTGTACTTGCTGCTTCAGTGTATTTAGACCAGTGTATGTAGGGTTTATTTTCCTCAGGAATAAAGTCCTACATGTATGTTTTTTACTTATTTTCATGATATAGATATTGGGTATTTATAGTTTCTCAAATTTGTTATAGTTTTGAGTTAGAGTTAACAAGACCTTAAGTGCTGTTTAATTCTGTCTTCAATCATACTCATGTTAACCCTTTAACTCTCATAAGTGACCAAGAAAGAATTTCTCCTTACAATATCAAAACAATATCAAGCAGACAAGTGATGAGAATAAGAAAAATATCAGTTAGGGGATTATAAGATGATCCAATACTAAATCCTCCAAACTAACATCACAAGAACTGTATAGGAGATAGTAAGGAGAATTACTAATGAGATCTTGGGAGTTGAAGGGTTAAACAAATCACTGACTCAAACATGAGGGTCAACTGATTATACTAATTATTAAAATAATGGCAGATTGAATTAGACATGACTCAGTCCTAATACTATTATAAAATGATGCTAGACAACCAGGTTTTGCTCAGTACAGCTTTTGAGCATAGTGCATTTACCCTTAACACACTAATGACAGTATGCATAATTATTCTCCAAACTGTTTTCTATTTGTTTAACATTATTGAGAGTCTCATAAAGTTGATTGATCATTTCCTTTATTCTTGTGTCCTTAATGTTTGATTCAGGGATGATATTGTAAGGAGAAATTAGATGCTAGTCTATCTTAGGAATCAAAGGGTTAAAATAAGAGTTTTTCTTTCAGTTGCAGGCAGTGTGTCCCCAACCAAAGCACATGGAGCAGAATTCTTTGCTGTGGCATCAGGGGTTCAGATTCCTTATGTAGGAAGAGATGAAACTGGACTCAATGTTAGCAGACTTAGCACACCTCCATTTTCTGAAGAATATCCCTCAAGACTAGCTTATAGCTCTTCAGCTCCACTAGCACCACAGCTCTCAATCCCTCAGCAGCCCAAGGTATCAACTAAGGGACAGCCTCTAACAAAACTTGCAGATGTGTTTTCTCAGTTTCACCCTGTTACTGACAAAAGTAGCAAGGACATAAGCAAATCCTATTTGAAGAAAATTAGCTCAGGGCTAGCCTTTAATGAAGATGTGTTACATGATCGTGCACCCCATACATTACCTTATAGAGAGGATGAGTTGAATGTTTTATTCAGAACTGGAGGGTTAAGCCATGCTAAAGGAAACATTGTTGGAGTTGTTGGACGACATGACCCACGCGGCGCTGTAAGAAAGCATGCTTTGTGCCACTTGAAGGGACCCAGGAAACTTAAACCCTTAAGACGATCAAAAACAACACCAGCGTCATGTGTTACAGATAAAGGAAAGCTCATTTCAGCAACATCTAATGTGAAAGGATCACTATCGTCTACAGATAAATTGGCATCAAAACAACCATCAAAGCATGAATGGGATGAATTTGTCCTGGCTTGCTTGAGCAAATCAACAGCTCAGTGGATTATAAATGAACAGTCATCAGGGAATGACAAGGATAGACTTAGAAGCTTTTTTGAAAAAAGGATCAAGGAAAAAGAAGACGAGCTACATGTAGCATCAGACAATTCCCTGGCACCAGATGCAGACGAGAGAACACAGACCTCAGCAAAGAAAGAGCCTAAAGAAAAAAAGT